GGAAAAACTCCCAAAATTTGGAGTTTGGGGAGGAAAAAAATCCCTAAATTTGAAATTTTGGGAGGAAAAATCCCCAAAATTTTGAGTTTGGGGAGGACAAAACCACAAAATTTGGGGAGGAAAAACCCCAAAATTTGAGTTTGGTGAGGAAAAATCCCCAAAATTTTGAATTTGGGGAGAAAAACCCCCAAAATTTGGAGTTTGGGGAGGAAAAACCCTAAAAATTTGGGGTTTTGGGGAGGAAAAATCCCTAAAATTTGGAATTTTGGGAGGAAAAATCCCCAAAATTTGGAGTTTGGGGAAGAAAAACTCCCAAAATTTTGGAGTTTGGGGAGGAAAATCCCCAAAATTTGGGGTCTGGGGAGAAAAAACCCCAAAATTTCAAATTTGGGAAGAAAAACCCCCAAAATTTGGAGTTTGGGGAGGAAAAATCCCCAAAATTTGGGGTTTGGGGAGGAAAAATCCCCAAAATTTGGAGTTTGGGGAGGACAAAACCACAAAATTTGGGGAGGAAAAAACCCTAAAATTTCAAATTTGGGAAGGAAAACCCCCAAAATTTGGAGTTTGGGGAGGAAAAAGCCCCAAAATTTGGGGTTTGGGGAGGAAAAACTCCAAAATTTGGGGTTTGGGGAGGAAAAAACCCCAAAATTTGCATCTGGGAACCACAAAATTCGGATTTTGGGGAAGGGGACCCCGAATTTGGATTTTGGGGAGGAAAACCCCCCAAAATTTGGAGTTTGGGGAGGAAAAAACCCCAAAATTTGGGGAGGAAAAAACCCCAAAATTTCAAATTTGGGAAGGAAAACCCCCAAAATTTGGGGTTTGGGGAGGAAAAACCTCCAAAATTTGCATCTGGGAACCACAAAATTCGGATTTTGGGGAAGGGGACCCCAAATTTGGATTTTGGGGAGGAAAACGCCCAAAATTTGGGGTTTGGGGAGCAAAAACTCCAAAATTTGGAGTTTGGGGAGGAAAAATCCCCAAAATTTGGGGTCTGGGGAGGAAAATCCCCCAAATTTTGAATTTGGGAAGAAAAAACCCCAAAATTTGGGGTTTGGGGAGGAAAAAAATCCCTAAATTTGGAGTTTGGGGAGGAAAAACCCCCAAAATTTGGGGTTTTGCAGAGGAAAAATCCCTAAAATTTGGAATTTTGGGAGGAAAAATCCCCAAAATTTGGAGTTTGTGGAGGACAAAACCACAAAATTTGGGGAGGAAAAAACCCCAAAATTTCAAATTTGGGAAGGAAAACCCCCAAAATTTGGGGTTTGGGGAGGAAAAACCTCCAAAATTTGCATCTGGGAACCACAAAATTCGGATTTTGGGGAAGGGGACCCCAAATTTGGATTTTGGGGAGGAAAACGCCCAAAATTTGGAGACTGGGGAAGAAAAACTCCCAAAATTTGGAGTTTGGGGAGGAAAAATCCCCAAAATTTGGGGTCTGGGGAGGAAAATCCCCCAAATTTTGAATTTGGGAAGAAAAAACCCCAAAATTTGGGGTTTGGGGAGGAAAAAAATCCCTAAATTTGGAGTTTGGGGAGGAAAAACCCCCAAAATTTGGGGTTTTGCAGAGGAAAAATCCCTAAAATTTGGAATTTTGGGAGGAAAAATCCCCAAAATTTGGAGTTTGTGGAGGACAAAACCACAAAATTTGGGGAGGAAAAAACCCCAAAATTTCAAATTTGGGAAGAAAAACCCCCAAACTTTGGAGTTTGGGGAGGAAAAAAATCCCTAAATTTGGAGTTTCGGGAGGAAAATCCCCCAAATTTGCATCTGGGAACCACAAAATTCAGATTTTGGCTAAGGGGACCCCAAATTTGGAGTTTGGGGAGGAAAAAAAATCCCTAAATTTGGAGTTTGGGGAGGAAAAAGCCCCAAAATTTGGAGTTTGGGGAAGAAAAACTCCCAAAATTTGGAGTTTGGGGAGGAAAATCCCCAAAATTTGGGGTTTGGGGAGGAAAAATCCCCCAAATTTGCATCTGGGAAGCACAAAATTCAGATGTTGGGGAAGGGGACCCCAAATTTGGAGTTTGGCGAGGAAAAATCCCCAAAATTTGGAGATTGGGGAAGAAAAATCCTCAAAATTTGGAGTTTGGGGAGGAAAACCCCCAAAATTTGGGGTTTTGCAGAGGAAAAATCCCTAAAATTTGGAATTTTGGGAGGAAAAACCCCCAAAATTTGGGGTTTGGGGAGGAAAAACCTCCAAAATTTGGAGTTTGGGGATTCCCAACACTTGGATTTGGGTTTTTTTTTTTGTGGGGGAAACCCCAAAATTGGGATCTGGGAAATGGGGAAAACCCAAAATTTGAAGTTTCGAATTTGGGGAACCCCAAAATTTGGATTGGGAAATGGGGAAAACCCAAAATTTGAAGTTTCGAATTTGGGGAACCCCAAAATTTGGATTTTGGGGAATATTGGAGGAGGGAAAAACCCCAAAAATTGAAGGGAAGGAGGAACAATAAAAGGAGATTTTGGGAAACGTGGATTTTGGGAAGTTTGATGTGATTTCTGAGGATAATCCCAGATTTTTCCGCAGGCTCTGGAGCGATGCCGCCACTCCAGGTACGGTTGGATCCCTTTTTTGGGATATTTGGAATATTTGGGAATATTCTGGGACTTTTTAACCATTTCTAGGGGGAAATAAACCCCAAAAAATTGACTTTTTTTTCCCCCCAGCACCCCAAAAATTGCAATTTTTAAAAATATTCCAGGAAATAACGAAAAGAATGGAATTAAATCCGAAATTAAGGAATTAGGAGGGGCCATCCCCCTTTTCCTTTCCCAGTTTTTTTTTATAAAAAACAGGAGGAATTGGGGAAATCTCAATTTTTCAGCCCCAAAAACTCGGTGGGAAAAGGGGGATTTTGGGGTCGGGGGTTTTGGGGTGGGGGGAAGGTGACGCCCCCCGGGTCTCCCCTCCCCCCAGTTCTTGGCTCTGCTGCTTCTCGGCGCGGGAATTTCGGGAATTTCGGGAATTTGGGGAATTCCAGTGGAGCTGCCCGGTGAGTCCGAGCATGAGCCCGAGCCCAGAAGGGCCCGGAATGGCCCAGTTCCCTCCCAGTCCATCCCAGTCCATCCCAGTCCCTCCCAGTTTATCCCAGTTCCCTCCCAGTCTCTCCCAGTCCATCCCAGTCCATCCCAGTCCCTCCCAGTCCATCCCAGTCCATCCCAGTCACTCCCAGTCACTCCCAGTTTATCCTCACAGCAGGAAGAGCCCCCGGCGGTGCCCCCGCAGCTCCCGGTGCCCATCCCAGTCCATCCCAGTCCTATCCCAGTCCATCCCAGTCCCCTCCCAGTCCATCCCAGTCCATCCCAGTCCTATCCCAGTCCATCCCAGTCCATCCCAGTCCCCTCCCAGTCCATCCCAGTCCTTCCTCCTCTCGTTCCAGTCCCCTTCCAGTCCATCCCAGTCCCCTCCCAGTTCCCTCCCAGTCCATCCCAGTTCCCTCCCAGT